TCTCTCTCCCTCTCTCTCTCTCTCTCTCTCTCTCTTAGGTAGAGTGGAAGAGAAAAATTGAGGAAGCAGGTGGACAAGTTCATCCAAAGATAAAAAAGGGTTCGTATTCTAATTTATGTGTTTTCTTAAAATTGGGATTGGGTTATTTTCTTTACTCCTTCGTAATTTTTGGAGAAGAAAAGGAATCTCAAAGAAAGTAATAACTCATTTATATGTATATTACAGAGACCAATTGCTTAGTTGTGACTAGTGGGTTTGATGGCAATGCCACTGAGGTTAAAAAGGCAAGGTAAATGCTGCTCAATTACAAACGGTTCTGTTTGTCTCAACTTTCTACTGTAGGTTCAGTTTAACTTTTTCCTCCCACTCGACTATTTTATCTTGACAGAAGAATGAAAATACCAATCGTGAGGGAAGATTATATAGCAGATTGCATTAAACGCCAGAAAAAACTCCCTTTCGATTTGTACCGAGTGGAAAGCATGGAAAAGAGACATGAGGTGGCGACGGTCAAAGTCAAGGGTCAAAGTTCCGTGCATGAGTCTTCTGGGTTACAAGATTCGGGGCACATTCTGGTGGATGGAAAGAGTATTTATAATACAACTTTGAGTATGTCTGATCTATCAACTGGGATCAATAGGTAAAAAAATTAATTGGATTTTCTTAGATGTCTGCTTGTCTCGGTAGACATTGCATAAGCACTTTTTATTTTATTTGATCTCTATTTATTTTTTTTTGAAATCATTATATGAAATAACTTTTTTTTTTTTCTCGGGTTTGCTATGTGAAGTTATTATATTCTTCAGATCATTCAAGATGACAAAAGCTCGGATTGTTATGTATTTCGTAAATGGGGTCGAGTTGGAAACGAGAAAATCGGTGGAAATAAGCTCGAAGAAATGTCTAAATCCGATGCGATACGTGAATTTAAACGGCTGTTTCTAGAGAAGACTGGAAATTCATGGGAGGCATGGGAAGGTAAAAAGGATTTTCACAAGCAACCTGGAAGATTCTATCCACTGGACATTGTAAGTTAATTTTTTTTTTTTTGTTTTTTGTTTTTTTTTTCACATGGCCATATCACCAAAATTATCCAAATGATCCATTTTGATCTTGGAGATTCATATTTCTAGGATTATGGGGTGAAAGATTTGTCCACAAAGAAACAACTCGATTTCAAAAGCACCCGTCTTGCGCCTCAGTTGGTCGAACTAATGAAGATGCTCTTTAATGTGGAAACATACAGGTTTGAGGCTTTTCTTTTTTTTTTTTCTCTCTTATTTTTTCTTTTTTTTTTCCTCTTTTCATGAAAATCTTATGATTTATGTTGCTTTATAACAAATTTGAGATATTGAATCATGCAGGGCTGCTATGATGGAGTTCGAGATCAATTTGTCCGAAATGCCCCTAGGGAAGCTCAGCAAAAATAACATTCAAAAAGGTATATTTATCTTGGGCTTATCATATGTTACAAGAAATTTGGATTCAAGTTATGGTTAAAAATAACTGCTTAAGGGGTGATTAGGGGGTGATTGGATATGTTAAAACCCTATTTTGATTGGATAAAATGAGTTAATTTTGAATGAAGTTGATTTGGTGGAGGTTTGAGTGAGATTTTGAGTTTGTATTTAAATAATATTTAAAATGTAATGATTAAAGTTGATGTGATGTAAAAGTAAGAGATAGATTATTGGAAATGATAGGTAGTTAATAATATGTGAGTGAATGAATAGTGAATTAAAGTTTATGTGTTGTGTGAGGACTGAGGATGATTAGTTGGTATTATTTGATTATACTGATAAAATTATATTGAGGAGATAATATTGAGGAGAGTTGGATTGGATTAAATTTGAGCTGGATTTTGAGTTGAGTAAAGTAGTGTAAAAAATTATTCAGTCAGTCAAAACCGATTTTAACTGGTAGCCAATCTCGCCTATAAATATTGGTGGGGGTAAAGTAAAACACTGCCTTTTTTTTTCAGGGTTCGAGGCTTTAACACAGATACAAGATTTGTTGAATAACACTACTCATGCCCCTGCTGTAAAAGAGACTCTTATAGTCGATGCTAGCAACCGTTTTTTCACAGTTATTCCCTCTATTCATCCACATGTTATCAAGGATGAGGATGACTTCAAAGCAAAGGTACTTTGGTTATGCTGTTTTTTTTTTTTTTTTTTT